GTAGTACCCGAGAGCATTTCTTTGGGCTATTTAACACTATGGATAAGATAACAAATAAACGACTCATTACAAATGCACGTTTGATAAGGACCAGCGGATGTCCTACATTCCACATCTTGCCGACATCCTATCCACTTTTCTTTCGAAAGCATCTAAGGGTTCCTCCCACATTACACCGATACTTTTCAGATGTATATTTGAAACCAGTTTAGCTCCGCACGCAACCGCGCGCATCACATGGTAGGCTTTAGTGAAACTGGACAACTTGCTGAATATTAGGTCACGTGGCTGAGAAACTAACAGTAAGATGTTTTGGAAGATGTGTCACATGAATGTTTAAAGGTTGTCCAATTTTGCTGAAGATTGTCGCGTAATGCGCGGAATGAAAATGGTACTTATCATGACTTCGTAAACATTTAGCATTGATATCGAGCTCGGGATGATTTAGCGGTTTATAGAATTTCCACAATTGAAGAATCGGTGTGTAAGTGAAATATAACCAATCAATCAGCATCTAACCATGATGGAAATTGGAAATATGATGGAAATTCGCTATTGGTCCAAGTCCAGATAGTTGAGCAGCTCAACTTTCTTTGCTTCTTTAGATGAAAGGGTAGGAATGGAACATATTCACGTGCTAGGGACCTGGTTTAGTTCAACTGAGTGCACGCTCAATTGTCGCTACTTTTATCAGTACAGTTGCCGCTCATACCACTTTCTGTCACCTACATTCAACCCTCGCCACCTTGATCGCTTGCCAGTGATAATTGCAACGAAGTTGGAGAGACCTGCATTCAGACGCTCTTATCATTTGTCATTTGATCATCCGCTATCCGTGTTCCCGTCCCATCCCCTATACCACATGTGAGAGCCAAGGTTCCAATGTAACCGCAAGGGCCGCAACGAAACTGGTGGTATCCACACTTTGACGCCCCTTATCAGTTTCTTATCAGTTGCTACCACATTCGTTCACTCAACTTCTTGGTCCCCGCCTCACCCCACATATCATACATGAGTGCAAACTCTCCACCGTCAACGCGAACGGCGTAACGAAATTGGTGACATCAACATTTCGACGTCCGTTATCAGCTCCTATCAGTAGTTATCACTTCCCGCCACCCATCATCAGTGTTCACGCCCGGCCCCCTATATATCCTAGAAGTTTGAGCGCTCTGGGTCCAAAGGGGGTGAAGTTATGAATTTCCGGTCAGACACACACACACACAACCGCTTAGCCGATTATATATAGTAGGATGATTATCCATTACTAATGACAGTACTGATGGATAATTAGTTATGAGCGCTGTCATCCCTATCTTAAGTATTGGAGAGACAATGGAGTGTTCTCCTTTCTCGAACTGGAGTTTCATCGAAATTGGGAAACGATTAAGCTGAGTCGATATGTGTTACACCTCCTCGAGCCTGTCGATCGTAATCGCCGGATTTACGCCTGCTTGACTGTGCTCAATTTGCAAAGAAGTAATAGATAGTTCGAACATCTCATCACTAGCGAGGAAGAGTGGATCTGCTGCAACAATGGAAGCGGAAAGCGTACTGGGCTGTTCCAGGGAAAATGCGGAGAGAGGTTTTCAAAGACGTTCACCCCAAGAAGGTTATATCAGACCGAGATCTACCTGGGCGAGTGATTCGGCAACTGCTAGATGAGGACTCTTTCATTGTCAATCTCTACACACAAGAGCTGGGGGATCTGAAGCAAATCGTCGATAGGGAAATGGTCGAAAAGCTTAGTTTCATCGTCAGACTGCAAGTTGCAAGAGAGGAGAGTCCGGAGCTCTTGCAGTATGGTTGGACAATACTCCCTATTTCACAGCATGGCCCAGACTTCTGGAGGGATGGTAGCTATAGGCCGCATGAACTTTGGCAAGATGTAGTTGAACGATTTTGGATATATAACAGTTAATCTTGCGTACTTCCGTACATTGATAGAGCTCGAAGGGAGCCAAACTAAAGTAAGCGCACCTCACAAGTGGAAGTGAAAGCAGCGGAAGGAAAGTTGAATACGGGGAAAAGAGAAAACCTGCGGCTGGCGGGAACAATACTGGTTCTTTAAAGCCACGAGTCAGGATTAGGTGACCATAGAAGGCCTTTCCATCACTAAAATTTCCAGGAATGCGCTCAGAGGGGTGTTGCCGCACTCCGGGGAGCGTGCAACAGAATCGTCCGGGAGTGGCGCCGTCGCGCGCGGTCACTTGCGCGGCGCCGTTATGCGGCACTTTTTCAATGGGCGCGGCAATAATTGACTTTGTCGATTGGAGCAAAGAAATAGCTGCAGTACATTAATCAAGCAGACATTGAAGTCCATTTTGCTTGATGATATACCTTTTTCTTCCATAAAACTGCGTCAGATTCGCGGGAAAGCTCAGTTTAAGATAAACCCTCAAAGGAGAAGAGGGTTCCGAAGTGCGTAAGCAGTTTCATTCTGCTCGGAATTCGTCCCTTCCGTCAGGCCGATATATACTACTGTTTCACAAGAAAGGGAAATCCGGCAAAAAAACTTTGTCAACCTAAGAAAGCGATTTTCTGGTCTGAATTCTGACTTCGCTGAGGTTTTTACTGCATAGAAAAAACCTCAGCAAAGTCAGAATTCAGGCCATTAAATCAGAATAAGCAGAAAATTGGAACAAAACAATTCATTTCCGCATTATACGAGAAGGGAAAAAGGAAAAAAGGTCTGCCTGTAACCGAAATCACGTATATACAGGGGTGGCCAAAAAAAAGAGACACTTTGCCCATGGCGCACATCATCGAACTTTTCGTCGCACAGGGAGCCGATGTTAATGAAAGTTTTACGGGAAATATTCCTTAGGTGTTTCCCCGTAAACAGAAGCAGGCCCTCCTTCACTGCCCCCGCCGTCTTCAGAATATGACGTCATCTGCCGTCACCGTCGAGCTCAACGAGGCTTACCGTAATCGCTCCGGCCTGAAGCTGCTACATAATTTCTTCAATAGATTAACTGTTGAATAGCTTCCTAGAGACATTAGCTGTGACTGTGCAAAACCGCTTTTGACCAGCGTTTCAGGGACGTCGTAATGGTCTATGGTACCTCGACGACCTCGTTGAGCTCGTACCGCGAACCATGTTTCCGTGGGAAAATCTTCTGATGACGCGTCGGTGTGTAGAAGGTCATGTAATTTTTAGATAGATTAGGATGTCCTCTTCAACAGCTAGTTGGAGTGAGTCGATTTGATTTCAGTAAAATGTGATTAATGCTATCTGAAATGTAGAGTGAAGTGTCTCCTTTTTTTGCGCCAGCCTGTAGAACTGAATGTGAAGGGGGAGTCGGTTTAGCCTCCTTTTAACGTTCACAGTTGAGTGACGCCTGTAATGAAATGAATGAAACTCGTCCACCGCCATCGCGGCGTCGCGGCCGCGACCATAAGCGCGGGTCTCCGGACGATTCTGTTGCTACACGGCCGGCCACACTCCTGACTCGAGATTGCGCGCCGTCAAGGCTTCTGGCCTACTACTTTCAGCGATGGGTTCGTTACATCAGCTGGTCCCGCCCACCGCGGGATGTGGTGCGTGGCTGGCCTAACGTGTGAGATCAGCTAGGTTGATTGCCGTATCAACCGATGGAACGGCTGGCATATCCGGAAAACTCGTTTGGACGTGGCTCTCCCCCGAGCAAGCCTCCTTCACTGCTAGAAGGGAAGGGGTTTCGATTTCGGTCTTGTCGACGGTTTCTTTGCGTTTTTTCTTCACTGTCGTTCCACCTCCCATCTCTACACTCAATTTCAGGCGCCATAATGCCCAAACACGAGCCTGACTTTTGCCTTTAAGAAATGAAGACCGATGGAAAATTGCTCGAGATGGGAATATGATGAAGAAAAACTTTATGCACAACAGAACACAATATGTGGTGATAATATTACTCTACGCTTAGTAATATCCAATATGTATGTATTGCCGTAATGTTTTATACGCCGCTGAATTGATTACATCAACATTGAAGTGGTCTCGCTAGCCTCTTCGAAATAGACCTGCTTGCGATTGGGTGACAGCAAGTTGGGCGGAATTTGAGGAAGCTGTCGACGAGGAACTGAAATAAAAATAAAAGGATAAAGCATTTGCCGTTGATCAATCCCTTTTTGGGATGCGGCACGCATTCTACTTCCATTTGTACATTCGCAGTGGCATTTGAATGCGATGTGGCCTATACAATGACTTGCGAAGACCTGCCGATGTGGCTAAGCCGGGATGAAGGGCATGGTTGACCAGCTGGTGCCAACCAAAGCAGATAGCAGTGCACTAGATTTTCATCTGCTTGTCTATTGGTTTTTTACGTTGCAACTTCAATGTATAAGAATATTTCAGTTTCCTAGGCCGGAAAAGGTGTAGTGGGCAAGTGGCGCTACTTACCGCGCGCGCGTAGGGGAGCGGGATAAAAGGCTTGGGTTAGCCAGGACACAGGATTCAGGATTTGATCCTTAGACCGCGCGCGTGCTAAGTATCGGCACTTGCCCACTACACCATTTTCGCTTAATTAACTGAAATATTTTCATACGTTGCAATATAAAAACCAATAGACAAACAGATGGATCTAGTCCATTGCTTTCCGCTACGGACTGGTGCCAGACGAAGGATCACTTGATGAAAAGAACGGCTTATTGTTTTTCTCTGAACCTGCTTGCTCGTATATTCAAAAAAGCGCCTCTATTGAGTAGGCTTCGATGGAAATTGCTCTTAAAGGAATCCTCTACGGAAAAAGCTCCGCCCTCATTACCACAGAAAACGATACCTTAAAGGAATCTTCCACGGAAAGAGTGATCATTTTGTCTTGTGTGTAGGATTAGTATTATCGAAACTAACGCTTATGTTCCGTTCTTTTTGCTATGCTCATGAGGCTAGGGGCCTAAGGGGTATCGTTTTTCTGTGGTAATGGAGGCGGAGCTTTTTCCGCGGAAGATTCCTTTCAACTGGAGTAGAAGTCAGTCGAATACAATGCCAGCCCTTAAATATCTGTTCAGATTCTCGCGATAATCGTTTCTTGCAAACTTCTCTGAACCGAGTTTCGAAGTGATCTTTATCTCAGGAACAGATCGCCCATTGGAATGGAGACGGGACCTTCGGGTTATTGCAAAATGAAAATTTTCTAAGTGTCTTACCAGTGGGTGTGAGGATAGGGAATGACATGCCGGGTACTTCGGCAATGAGGTTGATAGTGTGGTATGTCTTCGGCGGTGGGCCGACGTTTTCGCGCATACGTTTTGCGATGAAGATGTGTTGCTCGGGCAATGTCTGCGATTGGCAGCCATGAACTTGGCCCACTCCGAAAGTGTTAACACTGCTAGGTCCAAAGTCAACCAATGGAAACATTGATCAAGAAAAAAGCTGTCATAAAGAGTTTGGTCCAAAGGCACCGCATGATTCTGTGGATTTATTTCATCACTGTACCAGCATGTTCACAAATTATTCAAGCTGAGTTCAAGAATTCTTATATGTTTCGTTGACATACAGGTCCAATTACAATTACGCTAACTGCTAGGTAACCCGAAAGCAGTGCTATGCCAGAAGCAAGGCGAGTTTGTAAGAAACAAATAGTTAAAAACAGTATGGCATACCATATGTACAGAAGCGGATTGAGTAGGGGACACAATCGACTGATTATCACTGGAACCACGATGTAGGAGACGTTGTTGAAGTCGGACTTCATTGGATTCAAACAAACGATGGAGTAGGCAAGGAACGGCAACGTCGACACCAACAGACATCCAAGACCAACCTGCAGGTAAGAAAAATATCAAACCCACCAAACCACTCCGGAATTAGTTTGAGCTGAGGAACAAAGAAGACTTGCCTCTTTTAACAAGAACTTAAAGGAATCTTCCACGGAAAAAGCTCCGCCCTCATTACCACAGAAAACGATACCTTAAAGGAATCTTCCACGGAAAGAGTGATCATTTTGTCTTGTGTGTAGGATTAGTATTATCGAAACTAACGCTTATGTTCCGTTCTTTTTGCTATGCTCATGAGGCTAGGGGCCTAAGGGTATCGTTTTTCTGTGGTAATGGAGGCGGAGCTTTTTCCCCGTGGAAGATTCCTTTAAGCAGTAGTTTCTCAAGTTCTTGATTGTCGGCTAATGTTTCTTGTGCCCTACGTTAAAGTCAAAAGTGGGGATCAAGTTGCTGTGGTATTACCATGGAATAAGAAATAGGGACGGGAAGTGGGCCGTAAGTGGAGAAAAAATGAAAAGAAATTAAAATGCGGAGAAGTCTATCAAAGGGACAACGAGATAAGAGATAATGTCAGTAGAGAGAGCGTAGCAGTCAGTCAACATCACGACGCTAGTCAAGCAGTGGGCGGCTCGTAAAGCTTTCACAGGATCCTTACTGAGCCGTTCCAAGGTGCTATGTTTCCGTTACATCTAGAGTTGCGGACCAGCACCTCTACCCAAGGAAGAAGCCTCTTTAGTGAGGCTGAGCCAGACTTTCGCCTTGAGATATGAACCAGTACCTTGGCCACATTTCCTTTCGGTGCCCAGGTACAGCACTCTGCGACAGCGTTTCCATTCTCTTCTCGAGCTTCTGTCGTACTCTGCCTGAAACATCAAACTGTAGCTGTGGTACTATAATGAAAAACAGGATACTTTGTAGCCAGTAAATTCTCCCAAGAATGCCTTAGTTTTAGTCGTGAGTTGAGACCATGAATGATGCATTCAGATATGCTTGTATGGGCAGTAGAAGTTACAACAAGATAGCCTCAAACCTTAGACACAGCGTGCAGTGCGCAACGTGAATCAGTCACGCATCACACAGTTAATTTGTCGACAAACTGTTTAGTTAGCCTCTGCGGTGCTGTTGATAAGTAAACGCGGTTAAAGTATGACATCTATTGTACCCTCCCCCTGCAAATCTCATCCTAACGAATGAAATCATATGTTGTCATCGACAGAATGTTATAAAGCTTATAAAACGGAACTAAGATAGGTTGTTGTGGTGTCACCCTGTACTAAGTGTGGGTCAGGTCTCGGATCGAATTTTGCCCATACGAGGCATTTCTCACAGCCCAAAGCCGGCGTGTTGAAAACTACTCGTCTAAGAAGATAAAAGCATTGACCTATGCATCGGTTAGCCCACTTATGCACCCTTCTAATTATTTGTACTGTAACAAGCAAGTGCTTGCAACCGCTTGTTTATCCCACATGATCTCATCCAGCCAAAGCACCTTACAGGCTGTAAGCAAGAGGCATGCATGTATGTATTAGCGAAAGAACATAGATTGCCTAAACACTTTACTGGGGTCAGCGCCATTCTCTTATGCTTTTATTTATTGGTGGGAGCAAACCATCGAAAGCTCCCTAACTTATTCGAATCTTTCGGTACCGGTAGCGTAACTGGTAGCGCACTTGCCCGGAAAGCGAGAGGTGCGGGTTCGAGTCCCGCCTGGGGCGAAAGTTTTGTTCACAACCCAGCATTCTTGTGAAACATTCGCAAGGCGAACTGCGGCCAAAAACAGCAGTTAACAAACGAAACAAATTAAAATTCCTTTCGATCTCTTTTAGCTTTGATACTTTATGGGATCGAGGTTACTATTCATATCTACTGCCATGTCTCTGTATTGTACAGTGCGTCAGTATACTGGAAGTTCATATACGTATT